TATGGCTAGTGAAACTCGTAACAGCAAAATATTGGGAATAAAATTATATTTTCTGGTTATTATTTAAAGATGAGGATCTAATTGGATGCTTGAATGTAATACCATGATCAGCTTCACAAAAGAAATACGTTTTTTAAGCAATTAGAATTGTGACATTTAAGTTCATAGAAATTGGCCATCTTCAGGCAATTTTGATTAACAACAATTACAAATTCAAAGTTTAGTGTTTATTTTTGGCAGTGGTTTTCAACATGTGTACTGCCAAAAGTAACCATGGGAACTAACACGTTACATTTGCTACTTGTCTTGATAGCTGTGATACCTTAATATGCTACCATCTATGAGCCATTAAACTCAACACATTTTCTCAGCATCATAAAATAAATAGTTATCAGCAAAATTCATCTGAACTGAGACTTTTCAGCCAGGATTAATATTTTTGCTGTCAGTACTGTGTATATTCAATACACACTCAGACCACTCTAGGCTAATTACAATATATCATATTAAATAACATTTACTGTCCTTGTTGGCTGGCAACACCAGTAGCCAAACTATCCAAATTTTGCATCACCATTTGCAAATCAAACCATTCATTTTAAGTTGGCAATACAGAAACAAGGACTGTTCCAATTAGATTTATAATAATCTAAATAATATTATTTGCTAAAAAATAACAGCTCTCTCAAAGTACATGATGGAGTTATGTGTACACACTTAAGTGTACTGGAGAAATCCAGTGAGTATCGTGGTTGGCTCCTCATTAGTTCTGATACCACTTAGCAATTTTCTCAGTATAGTGGGGGAACATTCTGCCTTAGCAAATCACTCAATAGCTTGTAAAGTAAGGGTCACAATGCTCTTTCAGCTGAGTTTTCAAGTTCCTAGAAGTCATCATCAGTCCTGCAAACTGTAATGTTCTAGGTATCACACCTACTAACACCACCTCTGTATAGTAATGTAGCTCAGAAAATCAGAGCTGTAATACCTTTTTTGGTCCAATTAATCTTATGATAAACAAAACATCCTAACTTTATAATAACCTCGTGGTGATCACACTATGTGGTGCATAATGAAACACCACTTGATACTTCAGAAAGCAAGGAATGCCACTTCCTTTCATTCATTGATCATACAGTCAAGTGACTGTTCTAGCTGCTGGTCTCTCAGCTAAGATCAGGAGGCCGTTATTGGTGACTCACCTGGTCATCAGAACTTTCATGCTGCTTCTCCACTAGTGCTTCCTTGTCTGATTTCTCTTGGACACCCAGACAAGTAAGTACTGCCAGCATTTTCTTTTTATGACATCTGAATAAATCAAGTAGTGATGAACTGGTAAACTGAAGTCTTAAACTTAAGATAAAATATTACTAGCAAATAAAAAACTTAAACATTACTCACTGGATGGAGGGTTTGAGCTTGAGATAGCTAACTAAGAGATCATTATTATATATAACATTCTATAATGTCATTTTTCTCAAGGTGTGTAGGGTTTCTGTGTCAGTTTTGGATATTCCAGTGGAAAAATAAGGGATGATGTATTCTCAGGTTATTTCCTGACCATGCGGTAAAAAAGATTGCTGTCTACTTTAATAATATACACCTGGAAAAAAGTTAAGCACCCCCGTGTTTTTTTCAAGTGATTCAGATTCGAC